CCGGAGATCTGGGGGAGCAGTAGAAAGAAAGGGGAAGCGTGCAGGCTTCCTTCAGAGTCTCTTGGCGGTTAAAGAAGGCTTGGGTGAAAGGTTCTTGCTCAACAAAGAGAAGCGAATGTTATTGTTAATAAATGGTTCCAGTGCGTGGTGTGCTCAGATGGACATGTTTTTAAATTTGCTGGTGTTTCATGGGGATTTCATAGCATTCATGGAGAATTATTATTGCTAAAATCCAGTCTTCCCGCACTCCGTGTCCCCTCAGGCAAGCCACTTTGCCTCTCTGAGCCTCACTTTCCTCCTTTATAAAGGAGAAGTTAGTAACTGTACCAACCTCACTAAGATTAAGTGAAACAATCTGCTTATAAAACAGAATAGATGCTGGCAAGTAGTAGGTGTTCAATGAGCGGTAGCAATCTTCGCTGTGATTATCACCGACCTTGTGCAAGCCTTTTTCTGGCATTGCACAGCCCCCTTTCTTTCCCCAAACCTCAGCCGGGTGCCCTGACACTCTGTACAACTGGCATTCACTCCCTTTCTCCCTGGAACACTCACTGGTGTGCCTGCGAGAAACAGCTTGTGCCAAGGCCTGACTCAGGCCCACAGCGCGGCCCAGGCCCCGTTTCAGCAGGCAGTATGCCTCACGTCGCCAGTTGCCTCTAGAGGCCCGGTGCACAAAAATGTGTGCCCTGGGAGGGGGTCCCTCAGCCTGGCCTGCCCCCTCTCACAGCCTGGGAGCCCTCAGGGGATGTCCTACTGATGGCCTATGCCCGCTCCTCTGCAGGAGGCGACTGGGCTGGTCAGGGGAAGGTGCCACCCCCATCACCCCGTCACTGCTGCTGCCTCTGGCCTCCCTCTGCTGGAGGTGACCAGGCCAATCAGGGGACAGCACCCCCATCACCCCGCTGCTGCTGCCACTGCAGCTGCGAGGCCTGAGCCCGGGGCCTCACAGCTGCCAGGGCTCATGGCTGCCTGAGCCCCAGGCCCCGCAGCCGCTGCGGCTTTGTCTGGATGACGTCCAGAAGACATCCGCTCTAATTAGCATATTACCCTTTTAGTAGTATAGATGATAAACATTTCTTCTATAAGTGATGTGCATGTGCTGCCTACTGTACTGGTACACTGTGTCTGTTATAACACATCTTTCCCCCAAATTGACATTTTAAAAAGTTGGCACAAAATGTAAATCTAGAAGGTTTGGATAGTTTCTCCCCACTCCCCATCACCTGGTGCACTCTCCTGTGGGGGCCCCTGCTGCCATGGGAATCCCTCTCTGAGTGAGAACCTAGCAGGCGGGGAGAAGGGGGAGTCAGACACAGGCCACTGAGAAGCGAAGGATCCTTTGATTTGGCAAATAAACCTCCTAATGATGTTGACAGTGTGTGGGTGTGTGATGGCTGAAGGTGCCTGTCTCTGGATGGAAACACAAAGTGTTTGTTACAGGCTCAATCCTGAGTGTCTCCGGACCCTCAGCTTCACCAGAGAGCATGTTCAAAATGCAGATGCCCCGGCCCCAAACCAGCCCAGCCCAATCAAACCTGCTTTGTCACTAGCTCCCAGGGTGGAGGTGGAGTGTGTGTGTGTGTGTGTGTGTGTGTGTGTGTGTGTGTATCATATGTACATTAATGTTTATGAAGCATTGCTCTAGACAGGGGTAGGCAAGCTTTTAAAAAATTATATATTAACAATATTTTTACTGATTTCAGAGAGGAAAGGGGAGGGAGGGAGGGAAGGAGGAAGAGAGAAAGAGAGAAACATCATGAGAGAGAATCATTGATCAGCTGCCTCCCACATTCCCTACGCTGGGGATTGAACTTGCAACCCAGGCATGTGCCCTGACCAGGAATTGAACCTTGACCTCCTGGTTCATAGGTCAATGCTCAACCACTGAGCTTTACCAGCTGGGCTATTATTATATTTTTAAATAAAATTGAATATATTTAAGGTGTATGACAGGATTTGATGTACATACACATGGTGAAATGATACGACAGTCAAACCAATTAATTATCATCTCCTCCTGTGGCTACCTCTCGTTTGTGATGAGAGCACCTGAAGTCTATTCTTAGCAAATTTCCAGTCTTCAGTGCAGTGCGATTAACTGCAGTCACTGGCTGTGCTTTTGCTCTGTAGAACGTACTCATCCTACACAACTGAAACTAGCCTTCTGTAAAAAGCCAGACAGTAAATATTCTAGGCTTTGTGGGCCATACGGTCTCAGTCACAACTATTCAACATGGCCAGAGACTATAGGAGTGGCTTGGTTGGGGTCCAACTAAACTTTACTTACGAAAACAAGCAGAGGGCAGGATTTGGCCCGTGGGCCATAGTTTGCCAACCCCTGCTTTTGACCTCAAGTTTACTGGCCATTAAGTAGGCAATTCCCTCAGTATATATTCTCTGGCTTTCTAAAGTTGTCTTTATCATGTGATGGCATTTCCAGTCCTCCCCCCTCTACCAGTACACACACACATACACCGTCATACATGCACTGTGCTCATGGTGGCCTGGGGGTTCAGTGAAGATCGATCTATCTATCTATCTATCTATCTATCATCTATCATCTCCTTTAATGTTCTAGGTTTTTAAAAATGTTGTTTATTTACCAATAAAAAAAAAAAAGTCTCCTGGCCCCTCAGCACCATTAGAAAAGGGACAACAAAGGCTAGTTCATTCATGGCTTTCAACTCCAGCAGATCTGTGCTCAAATTCCAGACCTGTTTCTGTGTGACCACACGCTGATCATTTAATCCCATTAAACCTCAGTTCCCTCATCTGCAAAATGGGAACAAATCAATACTTGCCTGATACACGACAAGCACTCAGTGTGTGTTAGCAACTTTTAGACCACTCTGCGACCCGGAAATCACTGCACAGGAAGGTAGAGAATCGAGTAGCAAAACAGCGTCCCGAAAGATAACCCTGCCGGCCTTTGGGACAATGCCTTCCAGACGTTTTTTCTAGGCAGATGGTTTTAGTTTTGGCACAGCAGTGATCATTCCTGAGTTGCTTTAAACGGCCCTGGGAATACATACAGGGCTTTAAAACTGCTCCCCCACCTCCTCCTTTGAACTGGGGTCCTACACCCCAAAGATGGTACGCAGATGGTCTGTGCCTCTCCGTTCCCATCTCCTGCCGGAGGATGCTCATTAAGACGAGTGGGTGGCCCACCACAGGGCACCTTGGGCCCTGGTTTCTATAGAAACCAAGTCACTCCTTCCCCTTTCAACACATTTCCCCGTCTCCTGACAAACTATCCTCGGAGACGTGGACGGCTCTGGCATCTACTCCCCTTCCCATCAGTCCACAGCAAGCACTGCCTGATGGGTGCTGAGCAGGAGCAGCCATGGGGGACGGTGTGCTGAGACTGTGCAGGCACTACCTCGGCTAATCCTCACGTAAAGCATGGAGGGTAAGCACTGTCACCCTGTTTTCAGCTGAGACAGCCACATCAGCCCTGGATTAGTGACTGAGGGCTCCCCTAACAGTGCCGCAGGCGAGGCGGCTTAAACAGCGGGACTTCATTCTCACTGTTCTGGGGGGCAGATGTCCGAAATCAGGATGTTGGCAGAGGGCCGAGGGGAAGGAGCTGTCGCAGGCTTCTCTGCTGGGCTTGCAGACAGCCGCCTTCCCCTGTGCCTCTTCCCACCCTCTTCCTGTGTGTCTGTCAGTGTCTGTGTCCTAACGTCCCCCCTTTATAAGGGCACCAGCCATGTTGGATTAGGGCCCACCCTAATGACCTGACTTTAACGTGATTGCCCCTGTCTCCAGCCCTGGCCTGTGTGGCTCAGTGGTTAAAGCGCCAGCCCACACACTGTAGGATCATGGGTTTGATCCCCGGTCCAGGGCACGTACCTGGATTGCAGGTTCGGTCCCCGCAATTGGTGTGTCTCTCTCACATCTATAGATGTTTCTCTCTCTCTCTCTTTTCCCCCTCTCCTTTCCGTTCTCTCTAAAAACAATGGGGAATATATTCTCGGTTGAGGATGAATAAAACAAAACGAAAAGATCCTGTCGTCAAATAAGAGCACCGATTTAAGTCTGGGGGTGAGGACACCTACATCTCTTTTGTGAGGGGGACACCATGCAGCCTGTAACAGGCTGTCTGGCTCTATCCCTGACCAGCCACTCTCCCCCACTAAACCCTGGTTCCCTCCTTCGCTAAAGGGGAACACTGCCTCCCTCGTGGGTTGCCGCGTGAGGGCTAAATGAGATACCTGGCGCTTCCTCTGGGGCTGGCCAGCCCTCCTGTTACCGAGGGCGGTAGGTGCTGGGCATGGCCCCTGCAGAGCCCCCAGCCCACCTGAGCGCCCCTGTGGCCGCGGGGACCGGCCGCGCAGAGCGCTTACCTGACTCAGCACGGCGCCTCGTTCTCTGCCGGGGGTTTCTCGGTGCTCCCGCGGCTCGCTCAGCCCAAACCGGACAGTCGAGTCGTAAAGCACCAAACACTTAGCGCCCCCAGTGGCAACCCTAAGCCTGGAGGGACAGGGTCAGCAGTGAAACACTCCGGCTTCCCAGAAGGATCGTTCCTTAGTGGGTCTCACATGGGGCCAGCGTGCCTGAGCCCAGCTGCCCGCACTGGACGCTGATGCAGCCTCGCCTGCCGCCCAGGACACGGAGGGGTAAACAAAGCCTGATTGCTTCATGGAGCACCTGGATCCAGCTCTGCCTGAAGGTGCAACTTCTTTCGTCCCAAACTAGTTGGTGTTAAATCCTTGTCTTCTCTGTGTAAGGTTTCTCTTATCAGTCGTCAGATTAATATACTCTAATGTTTCAACGGTTCCTCCTTTTAAGACCACACTAATATTACCAACAATGCCTCGCACGGCTGGCTGTCTATTCTGCCCCTTGAATCTCCCAGCTGGGGGCCCAGGTACCATGGAGCAGAGATTAGCCAACCCTGATGTGTCTGGTCTCAGTTCTTGACTCAGAATGGTACCACCCCCCCACCCCCCCACCCCCGGCTATGCACCGTGTCCCTGAAGAAAAAGGTAACGCGAATGCATGGCACAAATAAATAATCTTTAATTTCAACAAACGGCTCCCCAGCATCCCGGACGATATGCTGTGGGAAAAGATACAGAAGCATCCAACAGAGATTCCTACTCTAACTACGCTAGCTCCTCAGCACGAGAGAAAGAACTTTGGTTCACACAGATACGGGAGATCCTCAGCTAGGACAGGAAGGAGCGATCCTGGATGAGGGTACGGGGCCGGGGCCGTTCTAACCCAGGTCGCTGTCCTCTGGGGTCTACGCCACCAGGATTTGGTCGGAAAAAAAAAAAATGCTGCTTTTGCTCTACCGTGTTCTATTTTCCTGACAAACGTACACGCTACTATTAGTGAAGGCGGGGTCTTGACCGACAGGACACGAGGTGAAATTGCACTGAGGGGAGAGGCAGAGTGGGAAGGCTCAGGGCGGAGGTCCCGGCCACTCCATTTCTCGCCGAGAGGACACAAGGGCACACAGGGTCACTGGCGGGGGCACACCCACAGGGAGTGCCCGGGCGGGGTCAGCGAACACAGGAGCCGTTCAGTGAAGTGGGAGAGGCTCCTCTCGCTGCAGTCTGTTTGCTGTTTGCTGCTGACTGGGTCTCCAAAGGGTCTAATCTCTCCACCACGCCCCCGAAATAGAAAGACAAAGGGCTTCCGCTCTGGGGGGAAGGTGCCGGGCTGGGAGCACCGGGGCACGGCAGCCGCTCCAGGCAGCGGTGGGTGTGGGTGTTTTGGGCGTGGGGGTCTGGCCTCGCCCACACTGGCCCATTCTCCTTAGAGTTCCTCTTGGGGCTGCTCCCCCTTGCTCCGGCTTGATGGTTGAAAGTGCATTTTTCGGGGGGGGGCGGGGTCAGCAAGAGCAAGCACTGCCAGTTTGCCTCATAGCAGCGCACACTTACTCACTGCACACGGATGGGGCTTCCGGAAAGTTCTCGGGCCTCGCTCACCGAGGATGGCCATTTCGTGATCAATAGTCAGCATCCTCTCAGGTCCGAGAGGGTTTGGTGTGTGTGTGTGTGTGTGTGTGTGTGTGTGTGAATAGGTAGATGACATGATGACACATTTTTTTGTCTTAAATTTTCTTTTTCTTTTTTTTTTTTTTTTCCTTTTTACATTTGACCAGTGCCTTCCCTGCGGCCTCAGGTCACCTCCAGCGAGGCCGGGGACACGCGGTCACACTCGGCCCGGGACCGCAGGCTGTGCCACTGCTCCACGGCCGTGCGGTGCGTGTTGAGCATCCGCCGCCAGTGGTTGGATTCCGAGGGGCCGGACGAGTACTGGCCGATGACAATCCTCCCGATGAAGTCGTTGCTGCTCTTCATGTTGTGCCCGAACACTAGAGAGCCACAGGGATGGGGTGGGGGAGGGGGAGACAAGAGGAGGAGGGGGCAGAACAGGAGGCAGGAACAAGACAGGCCATCAGTCCACACGTTCCTCAAAGGCAGACCCCGCGTCCTGGCCTCCAGGACACTGTCTGTGTCTTTGAATGGTGAGAACTCCCGATTCCCTCAGCTCTTCTCCCAGGGCTCTGCTGCAGGGGACTGGGCTTGGCAAGGGCTTCCTGCTTCTCCCCCCCAAGCCAGGCATGTCCTCCTCCCCCCTTCCCTCCCCCCTACCCCCCAGCCTCGCACTGGCTGCTGGACAGCTGCCCCTGCCATACGCAGCTTGGAACTCTGTCCTGTTGCCACGCTGCCTGCAGAGCTGGAGTACCGGACAGTCCTGGTGGACGGTCACAGAGTCCAGCTGAGCCGTGACACTGGGTTTCTCAGCCACAGCACTGATGACGTTGGGGCTGGTGACTCTTGGCTGTGGGACTGACCTGTGCACGGGAGGGGTGGCGGCACCTCAGGCCCCTACCTGCTAGATGCCAGTATCCCTCCCACAACCCAAAATGACTCCAGCCGTGGCCAACATCCCCTGGGGGCGGGGGGTCAGGCATTCCAGTGAGAACCACCAGGCTTAGCTGTGGGCCAGGGGCCAGGCAGCCCACAGGAACCCTGGCCATCATCGGACCAGCTCTGGGACCCCGAGGCACGCGAGGGAACCGCTCTGAAACTCAGTTTCCTGTTGGTTCAATCGCAACCTTCATAGTGCCTTACCTTTCGAGGTTTCGATGAGATAACGCATGTACAACTCTCAGCATGCAGTGCCTTCCTGGCACCCAGTAAGCACTCATCTAATGCACTGCTATTTCACGTCCACATTTTCTGTTGATCCTTTTTAATCTTTATTATTTATTTATTTTTTAAAATATATTTTTTATTGATTTTATACAGAGAGGAAGGGAGAGAGATAGAGAGCTAGAAACATCGATGAGAGAGAGTCATCGATCAGCTGCCTCTTGCACACCCCCTACCGGGGATATGCCCGCAACCAAGGTGCATGCCCTTGACCAGAATCGAACCCGGGACCCTTCAGTCCCCAAGCCGACGCTCTACCCATTGAGCCAAACCGGTCCCGGCAATATTTATTATTTATTCCCCTCCCTTTTTATTGAGTTGATTGGGGTGACACTGGCTAACGGAAATGACACGGGTTTCCGTGCACAATTCTGCATCCGTCTCCGCCTCTGGACCTTTGTGGAAAGAGACTTGGCGTTCGCTCTGTTCGAGGCAGCAGAGGCCCGTTTCCTGAGAGAAACGGCTGTGGCAGCGCCTTCCTCCCTGGCTGTACTGGATGTCTCTTTGGAAAGTTCTCCCGTTAATTCCGAAGCAAGCTTAATTTGTGTCTTTCAAGCCTAATGAGATAGTTAGCTTGATTTATCTTCCCAGCCAAGTTCCGCCTAATTCTTTCTCCGCATGTGGGTAGTCCAGGCGTGCCATCTCGCTCCCGGGAAAGCAGGCCGCGCGTCTGTTATAAACGAGGGACTCCAGAACAGGAAATATCACAGATTCACCCAGCGTGAGCCCAGCAAAGGCAGGCTGCATCCCAGGAGGGAAGCCATTATCAAATAAGCCGGCTAAAATATGCAGCCCCAAACAGAGCTTGGATGCTAACGAGCCTCTGTTCTCCCCTGTGGGGTTCACATCAGAAATTCCAAATGATAAAAAAAAGAGGGGTGGGGGGAAGAGAAGGGGAAACAAGAACAAAAACCTCATCCATTGTCTAAAAACCGAAAGACCTGGAGTGAAGTAAGCTGCGTGAACGAGGCTAAGTGAAAAGCTACACACCTCAGTCAAGAGTGTCCGGTACCTGTCCGCTCCACAGACAAAAATTAAACCATGCATACTTTCTGTACTTTAGGTAAAATGCTCAGTATGCATCGGCGGACTTCATTTTCATAAAAGCTAGGAATGGAATCTTTTGCTAAGGAGCTTTTTGGGATGCATTTGAAAAAAAATTGTTTTTGAATAGGTAACACTCAGGACCATCTTGAACCACACCTGGTGGGCAGTGCAAGGTTTGATTTCACCAAATAAGAAGAAGTTATCAGAGTCCCCTTTTCTGTGGACCTCAAATCTAAAGCAAGATATTATTATGGTTTTAGCAAGATATAGGAGACCATTCCAGGCTCCTTTTGGTTTTCTCCCTTTGGGGCAAAATGTTCCCTCTTCCTCTGCCTCCCCAACGTTCACATGAAAATGCAGAAGCATCTTAGCAAATCAGTATGGCCTCTGCTTCCCTGGGGTAAGGGTTTTAAGAAAGGAAACCTCTAACACTAATCACGCATTGTTGGTGAGAGAGGAAGTTGGTTCAACTTTGGAGGGAAGTTCACAGTATCTGTGTAAAATAAAAATGTCATAACCTGTGATCCAGTAATTCTACTTCTAGGGATTCACCCCACAGAACGATCTGCCCAAAATGGAGGAAGATACACAACCACGTGTCTGTGGCAGGGGCTGGCGAACCAGAGCCTCCAAGGCAAATCTGGCTGCCACCGGATTTCTGTGAGCTTTGTTGGGACTCCGCCAAACCCGCTTGTTCATGTCCGTCCGCCGGCTGCCACCGCACTGCAGCCCACAGCTGAGCAGCTTCAACAGAGACCACGTGGCCCGAAGTGGAAAACAGTTACTGCCTGGCCTTTCACGAAACCTTTGCTGATCCTTGCTCCAGAATATTGTTTAGAAGAATGAAAAACGGAAATAACAAAAATGTCCATGAGGAAGCGTGGCCCGGGCTGTTGGTGCCCTAACCCACCTCTCAGCCCGCCCTGCAGGCCAGCTGCAGCTTCTGTGGACGGTGTCCTATCACAAGCCCCATGGCTCTCTGCCGGGGCCCCCAGTCTGTGCTAACAGGTGATTTATGGGGGGGGGGGGGTGTGTGTGCTTGGGCCACTCCATATCAACTTGACCTTGGAAGGTGTGGGAGACTGGAGGAAGCCTCTTGGAAGGGCAGCCATGCCTATGTGGCCACCAGGGCCTGTGGAAGGGACTCCGAGTGTGCTGCCACTGGAAGCTCCTGCCTGGGCCCTCCAGCCTCTGCCCTCACTGATATTGGTCCGGACCCTTTTGCTGCAATAAATGGTGAACACAAGTATAATAACTCTTCTGAGTTTCGTGAGTCCTTCCATCTTCTAGCCTGAGGGAGGCCTTGGGGTCCCCTGAGCTGCAGTGACTCGCTCAAAAGAACTGCCTCCGTTTCCCGCCTCCCCTGTCCACTCACCTGCCGGTGCTTCTGGGATCCCCTTCCTAGTGGCTTGCCTGCACCCGAGTCATTGTTTTAGGATTAAATTTGGGAGGCACCCAGACTAGGCCTGCCGGGGACTAATTAGGTAATTTCTGATGTAACAATACCATGGAAACCAATGTCACAGTTAAAAATGACACAGACCTATATATACCAATGGCAAAATCTTCCAAGACCTATTGCTAGGAGACAAAAACGAGTTGCAAAGCAATGTATGCCAACACAATCTCGTTTTGCTAAAAACATACTAATACATAGAAAGCAGTGTCTGGAGGGATGTTCGCCAGACTCCTCAGAGTGGCTCTCTCTAGGGAGGAAAAACAGAGGGAACTTCCGCTTTTGTCTTAGGTTAGCATGTACCGTTTAAACTTCTCACAAGTGCATGTTGTGATGGGAAGGAAACAGGAAACAAATACGGTAAGCGGCTGTTAGAGAATCCAATCTATGTCGCCAGAGCGGGAAGAAGACTGAAAGGAAGTCGCAGCCTACGCTCCGCGTCCCCGTTTGCAAAGTGCGTGGCGAGCACTTGGCCGGGAAGAGTGGGGAGCTGGTGAGTCAGCCTCTCTGCCGGGAAGCAGCGGTGGCCGCCCCAGTCCCAGTTAACCGGCAGGCTCCGCACTCACCAGTCCCTCGGTCAAGTCACGGCAAATCAGTTGGCGACTTTGAAAGTCTTGGAGAAAGCAAACATTCAAAATTCAAATTATAATACGTGAAGCTGAATAAAATCAATGACATCTATGATAAAAGCCAACGGGAGAATATCAAGGCTTGCCGTCACTGAACATTCTGGGGACTGGCTGCTTGTAGAAGACAGAAAGGGGCCCAGCAGCCGTGGGCCAGACACCCTGCCCCCTCCACTTTGTCCGTAAGGAAACCAAGCCACCGAGCTGGCTGGTACTAAAACTCGCAGTATTTGCAGCAAGTAACCTGCAAAGGAAGCACGTTCCTCACACCTAGGTCCCTACAATCCTCTTCAGAAGCAATCACACCCAGACCTTTTGTTGTAAGGCCCCCAAATGTCCCCACTGGCTGTGACAGGGGACTCCTTTTACTGTAGTCACTGAGTATATGACAATGTATCTGCTCCAATGTACCTTAGTCATCTGGAAGCGCCTTCCCAGCAGTGTGTACAACCAGAGAGTGGCAACAGGCGTCTGAACAGTCAGAACAGATGTCACAGAGTCAGGCACACATCCCAGTAAGGGGGCTCCTCACACATTCTCTAAGACCCTACATCCTACATCCTATCCGTGGATTTAGACGTCCTTCGACTGAATGTGGCCACCTGGTTTCCCCTCCCGCGGTCATTTACATGAACTCAGTGGACTGTGGCTACCTGACAGATACGAGAACTTCAGAGAGGACAGTAGGACGGAGCCACGTGGTGAAGGCAAACATGCTTTACTCCTCACAGAGCCCAGGGAGACTCACATGTGACCGGGCTCTGAGGAGGCATGGAGAGGGACACTGCTTTGTTAAGCACCTACTATGGGCCCGGCCCAGGGCTAAGCAGGCCACGTAGATTAACTTAATCTTCACGTCCACCCTCTAGCATGGACTTTCCCATCCTCAGCACTACTGACATTCTGGGCCAGACCGTGCTGGGCGTGAGGGGCTGTTCTGAGCATTGCGGGAAGTTTAGCGGCACATCTGGCTCTGCCCACCAGATACCATTAACAGCCCTCCCCATACAACAACCAATTGTATCTC